ACAAATGCATGATGTCTTGTATATATTCCATTCCAGCATCATACAGAATAGTCTCACCATGGAATAAAAATGCCCTGTGCTCCAAATACTTATCTCTGTTTCTCTCCCCCAAATCCCTGGCAACCACTGATCTTTTTATTGACTCCATAAATTTGTGTTTTCCAGAAAGCCATATAGTTGGTATTATATCATACTGTAGTAGTCTCAGACTGACTTTTTTTTTTTTTTTTTTGAAATGGAGTCTTGCTCTGTTGCCCAGGTTGGAGTGCATGATCTTGGCTCACTGCAATCTCTGCCTCCCAGGTTCAAGTGATTCTCCTGCCTCAGCCTCCTGAGCAGCTGGGACTACAGGTGTGTGCCACCACACCTGGCCAATTTTTTTTGCATTTTTAGTAGAGACAGGATTTCACCATGTTGGCCAGGCTGGTCTCAAACTCCTGCCCTCAAATGATCTGCCCACCTCAGCCTCCCAAAGTGCTGGAGAATTACAGGTGTGAGCCACTGCACCCCACCAGACTGACTTCTTTTACTTAGCAATATGCATTAAAAGTTTCCCCATGTCTTTTCATGGCTGGAGAGATAATTTTTTAAAATCATGGAATAACATACCGTTGTCTGCATGCACCATAGTTTGTTCATTCATTCGCATATACTAATAGACATCTTGGTTTTGGCAATTATGGATAAAGCTACTGACAAAATCCATGTGCAGGTTTTTGTATAGACTTACATTTCAACTCATCTGGGTAAATACCAAAGAGCATGATAGCTGGACTGTATGCTTAGAGTATGTTCGGTTTTGTGAAAGACCACCAAACTGTCTTCCAAAATGGCTGTATCATTTTGTATTCCCACCAGCAATGAGTGAGAACTCCCCCTGCTCCACATCCTTGCCAGCGTTTGATGTTGTCAGTGTTCTAGAATTTTGGCCATTCTTGTAGGTGCGTAGTGGTATCTCACTGTTGTTTTTATTTGTATTTCCCTGAAGACATAAGATGTGAATTGTATTTTTATATGCTTACTTGACACCTGTATGTCCTTTTTGATGAGGTATTTGTTCATATTCTTTAGCTCATATTTTAATTGGGTTCTTTGTTTACTTATTATGGAATTATAAGAGTTATTTGTATATTTTTGATACTGGTCCTTTATCAGATGTGTGTTTTGCAAATATTTTCTCCTAGTGTGGTGGCCTGTCTTTTCATTCTGGTTTTTCATAGAGCAGAAGTTTTTAGTTTAAACAAAGTCCAACTTAACAAGTTTTTATCTCACGGATTATACTTTTAGTGTTGTATCTAAAAAGTCATCATTATGCCCAAGGCCACCTAGGTATCTTCTAAAAGTCTTATAGTTTTGCATTTTACACTTAGATCTATGGTCCATTTGGAATTAATTTCTGTGAAAGGTATAAGGTCTGCATCTAGATTCATTTTTGTGCATGTGGATATCCAGTTGTTCCAGCATAAAATCTGAATTTTTATGTGAGGACTCCTGTTTTTAAAGGTTCGTTCAAGTCTTTTCTTGGTGGTAGTGGTACTGGAGGAATTATAGCTCCCCCTCCTCTAATACACATGTCTGCAGAATGCATTTATCCATCCTGGATAATCTCTGCCTCCTTCATCCCTCTTACCTGGAATGCTCTTCATCCATCCACCTAAGTTTTTTTCTAATGTCCACCTCACACTCTATCTACCTGATTTTCCCACTACTTCAACCTGGTGTATGAGTTCACCAGATATTCAGTTCATAGTGGCTGAATGCTGAACACACTATGACTTGTCCCCATTAGCACTGCCATATAGCACTCACTGCCTTTCTTCCTTAGCTAAACTGTGAACTCCTGGGGAAGACAGGAACCCTCCTTTTCTGGTTTACTCCAGGTAGCTTAGCATGCATGGGTCTGGGCATAAAATAGGTTCAGCCACAGCTGCTAACAATTTCAGACTAGCTGGGCTTTGGTCCTGACTTAACAATTGTCCTTTGTTCTTCAGGAGAGATGGCTACTTCAGGAGTCAAGCTGAGGACCTGCCAAAGATTTAAAACCAGCGGCCTTGCCCTGGCACAGGTAGAATGATGGCATCTCTAATTTTGATGCCTGATTTAGCATGACATTCATGTAAATAAGAGGGCCCTGAAGTCCTTGGCGAATTAGAGAAGATTAATGATACCGCAAAATGTATTATCAGAGTTACCACTGTATCATGAGTAACAAACATGTTTCTTTCACTATGATTGCTATCTGGTCAGAATGTTATCCCAGTCATTATGAAAAACAGTGACATAAAGGAGTGAAATAAAAGGAACAGAGAGCTTCCTGGTGACTGGTTTCCTACCTCATGCCTATTTAATAGTCAAGCTACTGGTAATCCTCCTGGCCCACCTTAGTTCTTCATTTTCATCTGCATCATTAAGTGTTCTCACTGGAGGATCTCTGGACACTTCAAACTGAACACGATGGAGAGAACGAAAGGGTCCACAGCTGAGGCTGAGACCCAAGAGGTCTCGGGTGACGGTTACTGTGGCACGTCTGTGTGCTGACAGATTTCTCGAAATCAATTTGCTCAGGGAAAGTACTGTGGGTCCATTTGTTAGGACTGCCTAACAGCCATGCAGGATCCACACAAGCAAACCCCAGGCAGAAAACATCAGGCAGGCAGGAACCCAGGAAAATCACCTCACTGCCTTGGGTTTGAGAAGTGGCTGTGAGCCTGCCTGCAGAACTTATGAGGGTCTCTGGCATGGCTCCCACTCAGGGCCATGGCAGACGCTGGTATCAGTGCTGGTACTGGTACCTCAGGAACAACCTTCCCTGACCTCAAGACTCAAAGGTATCAATCAGCAACTCACTCGGCTTGGAAGGACAGCAGTCTTCTTGAAAGCACACCCACACTTTTTCTTCTAGTCCTCCTCCAGAGACAAACAAGTAGAACAATTCTTGTTATCACCCTCCCTTCCCCAGGAAAGCCCCCCAGATCCACAGGCAGGGAACAGTCCCTCTGGATGGTGTGAAGTGGGCAGAGCAATTCCTAGGATGTTATGAAAAAAAAATCACATCTAGATGCCTAAAAAATAAAAAATCCCAAGCCTTCTCCTCCGGGACCTGTTTAAAAGACACAACCCCCTTTTCCACTTAGCTGCTTAAGCAACCTCTTTGTACACACTGTACTCAGCAGTGACTCAGGGGCCCACATCTATGAGCCACTGAAAAAAAAAAGATTAGTGGCTGGCTAAAATCAGGGGATGTTAAGCAACCTGGATTAGAAATTCAACCTTGATCATGCACAGCAAGAAATAACTTCAGCAACTGCTAGGTACAGAAAATTAAACCAACGGAAGAAAAAACAAGTCAAGAAAATAGAATCTCCATGAAGTCTAGGAAAATGGGTATAGGAGAGCCTGAGAAGGCCAAACCTCAAGGCAGGAAGGCTCCCTAGGCAAGCCCAGCCATGGAGAACCAGAAGAGACTCACTGCCCGCCCATAGGCGGAACAAATTCAATTATTTTGAGTTCCTGAGGCACTGGTCCACTTCTTGGTGAATGAACATGTGATTTACTACTCAACAGGCAAATAATTAAACTTCCTGAACATCAATATGATTTAAAGTTGCCAACAACTTAACAGACCTGATATTCTCAGTTTAAGATTTCATCCTACAGTCTAGTTACATTTTTACTATGTACCTCTTAAGTCCCTTTTGGAGTCATCTCTCCTCCCAAGCATTTAACAGTGGTGCAATCTCGGCTCACTCCAACCTCTGCCTCCTGAGTTCAAGCGATTCTCCTGCCTCAGCCTCCTGAGTAGCTGGGATTACAGGCATGTGCCACCATGCCCAGCTAATTTTTGTTATTTTTTTCAGTAGAGACGGGGTTTCACTGTGTTGGTCACGATGGTCTTCATCTCTTGACCTGGTGATCGCCCACCTCAGCCTCCCAAAGTGCTGGAATTACAGGCGTGAGCCACCGTACCGGGCCACCCCTTAGCGTCTTCTAAGGCAAAAGTTATCAGGCTCATTTTGCAGATTTGTAAATATCTCAAAGCAACTGAATGGCAGGGTACTGTCATGAAACAATGACATGCGGAGGAGCAGGAAAAGGTTACTGACATCCTAGCACCTCACTGCCATGCTAGTGTCTCCCCAAGTGAAATAAGTGCCCTGAAGACAGTCTGTGGCTGAACCTCAATCTATTTTCACTTACAGAAAGGCAAAATCATCTCTGTTTTTCCTGAGTCTTACATAACTGTAGCTGAGAGTCCAACTGTTCTGGTCATGGCCTCACATTCTTTCTGCAAGGGCTTTAGTTGACAAGATTTACGGGGTGGTCTAAAGAAGCATGTGAAGCAATGTGGGTTGAAACAAAGAGGGAGAACTTTCTGATCCTAGCAGAGTAGATCTAGTTTCTGCGGAGGGTTAGACAACCAGCCCCCAGTCTGTCCTGACTGTGGGTGCCCAATGCCCAAAATAAAGCAAAAAGGGTTCCTTTCTTTCATAGTCTCTGTTAAGAGGCCACAGTCATGCTAAGGTTTGAGGATGTGAAGACACAAAGGGCTCCTGGGGGCTCTTCCTTATGGAAGGGGACACGGAGGTAGCGTCAAACATTCCCAACATAGTCAGTGGGGAGGGAAACTGAGATGACACGGATGAGAGAAACAGACTGGGCCACGGAGTTGCTACAGTCCCTGGATGTTTGTAGATCTTACAGAAATTGCTTTTCATGCCCAGCAGCCAGCACAGGCAATAGCTATCACCAAAGCCATCTCAGCAGGACGGTAAATAAAAATCACCAAGGCTAAGAAGCAGTATGTTAAGAGTAACGACTCCCTCTGAGACGATGATGCTTTAAAAACTCACAACAAGCCAGTTGAGCTCCCAGTTTAGGGAGAAGGTTTAAATAATGTTCAGGGGACAACGGTCCAAAGCCAGATGGAGCCAGATAGCAAATTCTGGGTGGAATGGCTAACCAAGGTCCTTGTGTGGTAGGCAGCTGGACATCATACTTACAGTGAGTTGGGCCGGGTGGGTTTGACCACATTCAGGTCTGGGTCACTGGAGTTCCTGTTGGGCTGCAAGCTGCTGCTGGAATTAAGGATGCTGTTTGGATTTGATGAGACAGATTCCAAACTGGAGTTGATGATGCTGTTCCTTTGTTCCTCTGGGGGGAAAAGCCACAAGCCCAATATTAATATTATTACATAGAGACAATCTATTGCTACATGAACAAAAATTTATAAAGAATAAGACTGGATTGAGATCTCTTATCCCAAGGAAGCTTAAGAAACAACATAGGAAAGGTTAAGAATTCAAAGTGGAAAACGAAGAGTCAAGGGGGAATACGTGACTCGAATCGTTAAAGCAAACCCTCTTCCTCTCATAACAGGATATATCTCCCCTTCAATATAAGCCAGGATTTTTCCTAAGAGTGGCCCTACCATGGCACAATAAATTGCATCTTCTTTTGACTGGCAGACTGTCAGAGTAGAGAGCAGCCTTCATAGACCCCTCACATTCACCCAGATCCCCTTGGCTTCTGTGACACTCACCTTTTATCCTAAAACTCCTGCCTCTAATATTGCCCTAATTGATCAGGCCGTGTCCCACCTCTAATTCCACAGAGCCTCACCAGAGAAGATCTACTGTTTAGCTGCCAACGTCCTTATGACTCCAAATTCCTGACCCTTTCCCAGTCACATCTTTCTGTGTTGCCTCTAGTTCCATGTATTTGTGTTTAACTTCATGTGAATTCTTTGATAAATCACTCTGTAACGGGCTGCAGAGTGGTTTGCCTATAAACAGCAACAAAATACCCAAGTCCATGGTCCCAGGAGTCATATTCATGCTTGGAGAATATTGCCAAGCCGAGAGACAGAAAACCTGAGTTCTCTTCAAGCCCTGACTCGCTATGTGGACCTCAGGCAATTTCTGCTTGATCTTGGATTCTTGGTTAACCATCTATAAAATGGGGAGAATAAGAGCTGCCTTTCACAGCTTGTGGAACTGTCATGAGGATCAAGTGGGATCATATGCAGGAATGTATCTTGTAAACTTCAGAATACTGTTCAAAGAAAAGAACTTTATGTTCTTCCCATCTTTAAAAACTTGGAGTCATGAATTGAAAACACAATTTTTAGAGATAATTTAGCTACATGGTACAGGCAGCCACCATTGCTACAGCAAAATATTATAGCTGTGGAATGTGATTCTTGTCCCCTATTCACTACAGATATACCATATTAAAATCAACTGATATTTCTGGCAATTAATTCCCTTAAATATCACATCTAGGCTAATCCTGGACCTTTTTGCAGTAAGTCAGAGGTATGTTAGAATATATCCCTTAGACAACAGACTAGAGTCACTGGTATGATAATTTAAAGGCCAACATTTGAACTCGGGTCTCTTTAGATAATAAAGACGGTTATATGTCATAAAAATACTCTTCCCTTTGCACAAGGCATGTCTCTAAAAGTAAAGTATGCTTATGAAGTGATTTTACAGTAAGCCTCACATTAGATATATACACACTCACCCCAATACCCCTGATATCTTAGCAAATCCTTAATGCCCTGGATAAAGCCCCACAGGAGAGATAAAAACCCTATGAGGTTACCTCCTGACTCCTCTGAATTCAAAGCAGATTTTGAAAGAAGTAGATTAAATTGATGTCTGAGATTTAGAACTGTTCATATTTTAAGAGCTTAATTTTTGAACAGAAACGACAACAAAGAGAAACCAAAAGAGGTACACTGAGCCAAGATGTAGGAGGACTAACAGGGCCTGTAAACGGGAACTTCCTGCCAGAAAGAAAAACAATGCTAAGATTACATAATAAGGGGATCACTGAGAGATTGGATGTGCCATTTATCAGTATGAATCAGTATCAGTAAAATTTTCCTTTTCACAAAACACGCACACAAAGATGCCCAAAAGACCATGAGGAGCTCAAGACTACCATATAAAGAAAGAGAGTGAGGACAGCTCCCTCAGCTTCAACAGGAGACATTTACTGCTTCATAGGAGAGGACAGAGAAACAGTTTTATTAACTCTAGTTTGAGAACTAAAAGGGCCAAGTTTGCATGACATAATTCTCTGAATTCTTAGGAAACAGAAGAGCATAACTATCGCTCACATTTCTCCTGTGATTATATTTACTTTTCCAGGAGAGGGTTATCATTCTACAAACTAAAAACAGTATCTAGCTAAAAGTACATTCGTCTTTCTAAAATGTTACCAGGAGATTGTTTTTCTCCCTTATTATCCATTAAGAAAAAGGAGGGTATAAAAATGTATCATAAGGCTTCATAGTTTTACAGCCAAGAGGGCCCAATATGCATCCTAAGAGGCTGACTCTGTATTGGTAACCCTTACTGAGCCATATGACAAGAAAACCCAAAAACCTGGCACTCCCTGACTATAAAACGACTATAATTGTGTACTAGATAGGTTTCATCATCTGTAGACAATACATCATGAGACTGAGAACATCTAGGTAAAAGATCTAAGCTGAAAGGCTGACAATCTTTACTGAGAGTGAATAGGCAGAAGAAGATTACTCTAGGGAAAGGGTGGAGAATAAGATCAATAGCCAATCAAATGTTTTAGTGGTTATAGCAAACTATACCAAGACAAATTTTAAAGCATGTGGAATAAATTAAGAAATAAAGAGAAAATGAGCCAGGCATGGCAGTTTAGGCCTGTAATCCCACCACCTTCAGAGGCTAAGGTGGGAGAATCGCTTAAGGCCAAGAGTTTGAGATCAACCTGGTAAACACAGTGAGACCCCATTTCTACAAAAAAAATTAAAAATTAGCCAGGCCTGGTGGTACACACCTGTGGTCTCACATACTTGGGAAGCTGAGGCAGGAGGATTGCTTCAGCCTGGGAAATTAAGGCTATGGTGAGGAATGATGGCGCCACAGCACTCCAGCCTGGGTGACAGAGCAATACTCCGCCTCTTTTAAAATAATAATAATAATAAAGAGAAAATGATTTAGTATTGTCACTCAGAACAGGAGAGTTTTTCATCAGCTGGGCGAATGAGTACTACTCCTGATAGAAGTGCACAAGAACAGGCAGCCTAGAAGACACTGAAAATATAAAAATAAAAATTAAGCAAATCCTTCAAATAACATAGCTAGACTTCCCTGAGTCACTGATGATTCAATCCAGCTCTGGTATCCTCATAGAAGGCATAAGAAGGACTGATGGCAATTATGTTGCTGAAGGAAAAAAAATTATAGGCTAGTGGGCTTCAAAAGAAAAACAGTTATGAGTCAGGTCAACAAGATCATAGAGGACCATGACAAAGAGAGAAAGCATCCGTACAACTCGAGTATGCCTAAACTGGTGGAAGTCAGTGGGAATGCTTGCCCGCCTCAAACATGTTTGTCAACAAAAATCTCTCTTTGTATTAATCACAGAAAACAAGGGCACAGCAACAAGAAAATGATAAAATAAACCCCCAAATAATGGAAGGCATGCACTGGCAGTGCCTTCACGAACATGTATGTGTTCCGTAAGGAGTGACAAACTGGGTATGAATTTGGTCCGTAAGGATGCAAACTATCCAAGGGCAGGGACATGATGTCTGGCCATACGGCATCCATTAACGTGGCGGGTGAGGTCAGCATTAGCTATCCATTCCTGGTGCCTAGCCCACAGGTCATTTACACTAAGGTTCCGTGAATGGTTATTTATAGGATAAATGTTAAATATAAGGGAATAATACACAATCAAAAATTTATGCTGCTGGAACAGAAAGACGTAGTTTTATGTTACTGAATTTTTCAGGTGCTTTAGACAGGGACCACTAATGTCCTTGAAACCAAAGTACTGATGACAGTGGGCAGAGTTTTTGTTTTTTGTACAAATCAGGAACGGAAAAACATGAGTATGCAACCAAATCACTGCAACTAAAAAAGGAAAGTCGCAGAATAATTTTGGTGATATTGTACTTGTTCTGGGGGTTGCCATGGAAATCTGGGAGCTAAGCGACTTCACTTTCCATATTTACCAAGTGACTCCGACCCACTCTGATGGCAACCCCATCACACATGGGAGACAGGAGTTCTGTTTATCACAGAACCCAGAGGCGAGGCCAGGAAAGCACTCACAGAGCCAAGCCAAATTCACATGTCTTGGCAGGCCTGAACAGGTCTGGCTCACTGAATACACGGTGCTGGAGGGTAAATATAAAACATTTGCAGGAGGTTTCCCACAGTGCATGGGACTCTGTCAGAAGACAAGTTCATATCCCAACTTTCCATGGTGCCTAAGAGGAAAGGGCAAAAGGGAGAGGCAAGAGGACTGCTCTTTAACAGCATCTCAGGATGCCTCATAGAGCCAAAAGGAGGCAACAGACTCTCCACATGATCAAACAAGGAGAAAAGGGAGTTACCAGACAGAGCAAAAGTTCTGCAAAGACACAGAGAGTCACATAAAAAATAGGAAGACAAATGCAAAATACCCAGAGGCTTTCCTGTGCTGTGGTCAGAAGAGAGGTGTACTTTCTCCTGCTTGTTAAAGTTTTGCAATGAAGTCTGTAATGTATCATCTTGACAATATGGGATGATAATAGCATAGCAGCTTAATGAATTTGGCAATAAAAAATGATGAGTGCACAGCAATTTCTGAGTCTACCATCTCTGGGAAACACCCAAGTACATGGGAAGCTTGGAATGAAACTTTCTGCAGCAATTTTCCCCCCTGTAGCTGTTGTTCCTGATAATAGTGATATGCCAAGTCACACCAAAATCTGAGGTGGTCTTATTTCAGGCTGACCCAGCAGCTTCAGTCCCTACGATAAAAATAATCTTAAAAAGCAGTCTGGGTAATATGTTTGGGTATATAAAAGTGGTCTGGGCAATGTTTTTAAAAAAATCTTAAAAAGGAGTTTAGGAGATGATGGACGACACAGTGAGTTGAAAAGTGAAAAGTGGAGTCAATCCGTTGTTTTGATCACAGCACATGGCAGATAATATTAAAACTTTTGACAGATTATCTTCAGCAAAACGACTTTTGATTTTGGTTCTGTGTGGACAGACTGAGTCTCTCCCCACCGTACCTCTAATAACCCTTTTCTTTGCAAAGGGAAAAAATGCCAACAAAACTGAATTTCATGAGACAGTGAGGAAGTCACTGCATCTGGCCTGGGA